AATCACGCTTATTTACCAGTCCTAATCTGTCGAGTTTTATGTCGAGATTGGCTGGGTTGAACTGGTGACCAGTAAAGTGTTCGCGTGTATGGATTCACCCAAACAAATCGCATTTGTGGATTCTTATCGTACCGGTTGTACTTGTGGAACTATACAAGGATATTAGGTTTCGAACATCGGAGAAACAAAAAGTAACATACCCATCCTCCAATCATGGTGGCAGCCAAGGCCTGCACAGGAACTTGCGGAATCAAAAACTTTTCGTCCTTTTCAAACCCGTGAGTTCCACTCAATACCCGAATCTGGATCGACTTCCTCCTTAAATCCTGAATCTCGCCTTCCTTCTGTTGACTTTCCGGTTGCAATATCGCCAAATCACTCAATAACTGCGCAGGATGTTGCATCTTTTCATTGCTGTCCTTCTTAGTGAACGAAAGTGGTCGCGGTGGTAACGCCGCTGTAGTCGCAAACGATATGGGGTCTGATACATTCGACGCAGATGACTTCATGGCTCCATCCTCAACCGAAAGAGGCTCGGACCGGTATGATGATGATTTCAAGATTCGAACTTCTCCGTATTCTTCCTTGGATCTTGCTGGTGCTTCGTTCGCAGGCGCAGGTACAGCTGGAGTAGTCTCGGTTTCTTCTAAAATATCAATATTTACATCTCGCGATACCAAGTCCTCCGGATCTATTATGCTATCAACAAAGCTGCTGTTAAACTCATCAAAGGTGATGTTCATCGATTTTCCTGGAATCTCCAAAGTCTTTCGTATAGATCGTGGCAAAGACGGGATGGAGGTTTCGTCGTCATCGTGTGACTTTAAAACTTCTTCCGTATGCGAGATCGGCTCGATCGGTTCCAAACCACTCAATATCGAATCCATGTTAATAATCGATTCGGCTTTCTCAGGTTCTTCTTGGATAACATTTCGGCTTCGATCCAAACTAAGTCGACCACCAATATCCATCGTATCGTTAAAGAAACTTAATTCTTTCAATAAACTTGGATGATCCCCGTTTCGTTCCAACGTTCCCCGCAACGACCGACCAGTCACGCTACTAATACGTTCCATGGATACAAATCCATACCCGGTGTCTCCATTCATTAACCGCTCAATGGTTTCCTGCGCCTCCGACAAAAGCCGAGTCAACTCAGCTTTTTCCATTTCCAATCGTGTAATCTCATCCTTCAAAGCATTCGTTACCTCCTTCGCATTCTCCAAACTCAAATTTGCCGCAAATATATCCTCCGCGATCAAACTTCTTTCTCCCAACTCCCGCGACAGTTCATTAGCGTCCATAAAGTTCACGTCAAAACTAGCATTATGCGAAAACGATTTCGACAAATCAGGGTCTTCGCCTTCGAACGTCTCTTCAAGTTGCTTTAACAGTGCTTTATTCTCTCGTTGCAGATTCGCCAGCTCTCGTCGTAAAGAACCTACTAGCAATTCATGTTTCGTCTGCAATTCGTCCGTTTCTTGCTCATCCATAACTTTCAACGCTTCCAATTGTTCAGAGTATTTCTGGCACTGTTTCTTCAGGGAGTTGAGTTCGAAGTGGGATCGCTTTAATTGTGATTCCAGATCGCTAGCTTTTTCTTGTTGCGACGAAATCGTTACTTCCAAGCTCCATATCTTTTCCTCCAATTTGCCTTCGCTCGTCTTCAACCGCTGGTTCTTCGATTCCAACGATTCTATCGTTTTCTCCAATTTCCCTACAGTCTCTTGCAGTTCAGTCTTATCCGCTTGAGTGACTTCCAACGATTGTTGCAGTGCTCGAACTTGAACCACCAAAGCCTCCGCAATCTCTTGGTCGATACCTAGATTCGGCGCGCTCCCATTAGCAGTATTAATACCGCTAGCAAATAAGTCGTTATCCGCCGGTGATTGTGGTAATCGATCTCCTTGCAATCGAGATTGATGAAGCCGTTCCATAAACGACTTTGACGGTCGTTTCTTTAGAGGAGAAATCGACGGCTTAAACTCATACTGGCTATTTACGGATCTATCAGAGGTCGGCGTCAGCGACGGTGGGGCTGGACGTGAACTTGTAGGCGTCTTTTGTAACGGATAGTTGCGCTGTCGAGGGGTGATATCCGGTTTCTTTATTGTGAGATGATCGTTATTCTTTCTTGCACTTATATCGCCCTCTCGCCTTCGTAACCCTTTCTTGGACGTTTTAGGGGTTTGGTCGGGAGATTCGCTCGAGGCTGACGAAGGTGATGAAGAGTTTGATATTTGGCCGACAAACCCACGGAGACTAGAGGTAAACGATACAAAATCGGTTTCGATAGATTGCATTTGCGAACTGGATTGAGAGCGGGGTAACTCGATACTAATCTTTCCTTCAAGCTCAGAGATTCGCTTTTGTAACTACAAGCAAGAAAAGGTTTTAGAAATATAAAAACAGAATGTGAGTAAATAAAAATTATAGTTTTATTCTCAACTTACAGAAGAAATAGTCTCCAATAAATCATTCCCAATTTTCGCAGCTACCGCAACCTCCTTGTCCCGTTCCGCCAACAAATCCTGCAGTTTCTTGACACTATCTTCCAAAGCCTTCGTATTCTCGCTTTGCAAGATTTCCGGCGAATGTGCAGGACTATCCAAATCGAACGAATTTTTTTTCCGAAAAGGAGTGGAGAATTGTGGTTCTGTGGCCGTCGTCGGTGAGGATACCAGTCCCATTGTATCCGGATATTTTTCGTTAAGAATAGAGTTGCTGGATTTTATCGGGCTGGGGATGGAGTGGTGAGAGGATAGTGAAATGTTTAGTTGGTGTGGGGAATGGAAGCTGTTGTTCTCTGAAAACATGTAAAGGTATGTAATTTGGAGGGGTTATCGAGAAGAAGATTTTGTATAATTTTTTATATAAAAAGAAGGGGAATAAAAGGAAATAGAAGAGAAATGTAAAAAAAAAAGAAGTGGTGGGTCACTTTCTTTTTTTTTCCGAGACAGAATTAGAGCATTAAATAAGAGCAAAACAACCAGCAGAAAAGGGAAATCTGGCGGCGGGTCTGGAACACTTTCAGTGTTTTGAATTGTATGAGATCCTGGGGGGCAAATTGTCAAACGCGACTGCTTGTCAAATGGTTTGCCCAGCTCCATCAAGGTTCCCTTCACCAGCTGAAAATTTAACGAATTCGGATTCCAGATTTTCACTAAGGTTTTTTGGAAACTTTTTACAAATCTTAATTCCAGACTATATTTTGGAGCTGTGCGCTTTTCTTTCGCCGGATCAAACTTTGAAGCATAGATCGATCAAGCCTTCAATCACCCAGCACGGCCCCGGTATATTCATCATCGCTGTACATAAACGACGTCCTCTTGTCCTTCTTTGACTTTTCTGCAATATTTCAACAACAGCGCATCAAATTTCTTTTTTTCCGTTTCGCTGATAGAGAAATACTCCAATCCATCAACTTCATTTCCCACATCTTTGATAAAATCCAACAGAAACGGAGCAAGATCGTCACCTTTCCATCGTGTCCGTAACTCGAATAATTGGCTGATACGTTGTTTTGGATCGGGTGATAATTCGAAGGGTATATGCTGGATTATTGTCGACGACGAAGTGTACGTAGAGGAATTCTCAATGATACACATTCCCTATCCGTTATAAATACATTATCTCTCGTCTAAATATGATTTAATTATTGCTTGTTATACCTTTAGCATCTGGATATCGACTTCAAAACTCGACGGAATCGCAATATTCCAAAGACTCATAAACTTTTCCAACTCAATCCCATTCTACAACAAAATAATTACATTGAAGTAGCATAAAATATTCGAGCGGTACAAGCGATATCCAAACCTTTTCTCCCAACAAAATATGCTTCCCAATAAACTTACAAACCTTCCATTCACTCAACTTGACTTCCATCCCCTTCAACGTATCCCATTCAGAATCCAAATCAACAACCTCCCCAGCATTCCGTTCAGAAAAAATATTTAAACAATGCACGATCAGCTCAGAATCTACATCGTCAATTTTGTTAATCATGTGAGTTGCGGAGACGACGTCCTTTCGAAGATCTAAACCCATTTCCGTTGTTTCATCAATTATTTTTGTAAGAATTTCAGATAAGTACGGCGGTGAAATAATTCTGACGTATCCTAAATCAAATAAATAAATCACGTTGAATTTGCAAATCGTGAACATCGTTTACCGTTCATATTGATTGCGTCCAACTGTTTCAACGCCATCCGAATTTCCTTCTCGCTAAAAGTAAAATCAAATTAAAAGAAACCCTCCGATATACATCCTAATTTGAAAACCTCGCTTGTACTATATCAACCAACTCGTTATACTCATACAACCTCTCATCGCTCTCCACTCCATCCGGCTCAAACACCAAACTCTCATACAAACACTCCTTCAATCGATCTAATTTCGGCGGCGTAGGAATCAACTCCAAATAACTCGGCGTCGTTGAAACAATGTTGTAAATTTCTTCCTGTTGGTTTACGATTGCCATGGTGTTGGATGTGTTTACTTGTCGGATTAAATATGTGTGCGATTCGGTGCAGATTACGGCGTCATCGGTTGGAAGACCTTTGAATAATATCGTTCTGCAACCAAAAGACGAATTCGGTAAGGTATTAATTTGCATTAATTATACGAGAAATACGAGTTTAAAGAATCCGACAGTGGGAATCCGGGTGGTAATTCTAGTAGTTTATATCGTGGACGAGAATCTTCTGAATTTTGGACAACCCGTTCATGCGGAAGAAACACTTCAAAACGTTTTGTCATTGGGCTTTTTGACGATTTAAATTGAACAACGCCACACAATCCGATCATGTTTGCATCTCCACCAGCAAAAACTTTATTTACTGCAAATGTTGATTCATAAGATTTCGAAGAAAAAAAAAGAGTTCGTTAGTTAAAGGAGCAATCACGGGGCTGGTAAACTGATCCCAACAAGAATAAAAGATCGGCACGATAAACTGACATTAAAAGAACCGCAATGTGCAGACTAGCAAAAAACAAAATGCATGATCCGGGAATCGAACCCGAGTCTGCCGCGTGGGAGGCGGCAATTCTACCACTGAACCAATCATGCGAAAATTTACTCATCGTAAGTTGGTTGCGTGCCTAATATAATAAACGGATTAGCGACATTCCTCCTTCCGGAAAAAATTCATGAAGACCACAGTGAACTCGTTTTGCGGTGTGATGTGCGGATTGAGATCATAGAGCCGGGAAGAACGAAACGTCTTAACAGTGTTCCCAGTCTGTCGGATTACAAAGTAGATATTCTCCGAACATTGATTCCTACATATAAGACGAATTTCCTACAGAAAGATACTTAGACTTTGAATAATGATACAAGAGGGAAACAATAAGGGAAATTTTGCAACAATTTGTATAAAAAAAAAATATGAAAGTGAGGGCACATTTCCATGCACCAAAACAATACTAATAAAGAGCTTATACTTAAACTTCGCTCATGATGAAGACATCATTGAATCAGACGAGTAAACTACAAGCCAGGGGTATCATTAAGATATTCAAAAGTTCGTAGTATGAATGAGCGCTTGAATACATGTGAATGGAGTCGCATAAGTGATGTAAACAAAATTAACAGGAAAGAAGTAATGAAGGGTTGGCGACAAATAAACGTCTCATCCCAGTGTTTGTTTTTCTTTTCGTTGTGCGACATAATCCCGAGCGCCAAAAAAAAAAAAAAAAGAATGTCGAGACCAGAACATACCGCACCCCCAGAAATCGTAAGAACAATAGCAATTAGTTTATTCATTTGATTTAATATTTTATATCTAGTTTTATAACGAAACCGAGGCAAACAAATATACCGTCAAGTAATTAATAATTTTTCTCGCCAAACCCCGAACTCGACTAACCCTTCACAAATTAGTTCACGAATACAACAAATTCAAGCTGAATTAACTGAGCGAGCGTTAGAATTACTATGCCTACCTGAAAACGAATCATGTTTATTACTGGATATTGGATGTGGATCGGGACTGAGTGGGGAAGTATTGGAAGAAGAAGGTCATATTTGGGTTGGAACCGATGTCAGTGAATCTATGCTGAGTAAGTCGTTAAAAAATCTAGTTATGAAATCCGTTTTTTTTTTTCATGTATAAATAATTAATATATTTTTCGTTTCTGGTTTGTTCTTAAAGATGTCGCGAATGATAGATTCGTTGAAGGCGACCTCATACTAAACGATATTGGAACAGGACTTGGATTTCGTCACGGTATGTTTGACGGAGCTATCAGTATTTCCGTAATTCAGTGGCTCTGCAACGCCGACAAATCATCTCACAATCCCGCTCACCGACTTTCAAAATTTTTCGCATCATTATTCACCTGCCTTACTCGTACGGCCCGGGCCGTGTTTCAGTTTTATCCCGAAGATGAGAATCAGGTGCAAATGATTGTGTCGAGTGCAATGCGTGCTGGGTTTTCGGGAGGGTTGGTGATTGATTATCCGAATTCGACTAAAGCTAAGAAATGGTATTTGTGTTTGTTTACGGGATCGCCGGAAGGTGGGAAGGTGGAATTGCCCAAGGCGTTGGGTGAAGATGGAGTTCAATATGAGGGGCGGAGAGCAATAAGAGATAGGAGATCGCGAAGTGTGAAAAAGAATCCAAAAGATAAGAATTGGGTGTTGAGAAAAAAAGAGGCAAGCAGGATAAAAGGGAAGGCTGTTCCTTCAGATACTAAATACACCGCCAGAAAGCGTGGCCCAAAGTTTTGAATATACATTACTGTTCCTGCTAAATTTCACAACTGTCTCTTTATTTTGTTAAATTCAGAAAAACAACGGTTTTTGGCAAAAAGATAAACTTTGCAAAAGCTTTGCCAAATATTAAATATAATTTCAACTGAAATGTTTTCACTACATTTTCTCAAAGAGGAAAGTCAAGAAATCAATAACAGAATTTGCCAATTTTTAAAAAAACCTCACAAAATGCCAAATTATTGCATGTGACCCGGAATATTCCTTTACACCAAACAAATTCATTGTAGATTGAAGATTATTGCAAGCAGCAGGAGCAATAGTAGAAGCATTAATAATTTTGTTTATGTTTAGGTGTACACCCTTCTCAAATAGGTAAGAGCTAATCTCTTTATTGTAGTACTCATATGCCATGTCTAGTGTAATTCCTAAAAATGAATATTGAATATTAATCTACAACAAAATATTTATTAGATGATATAATTTATATTTCTTGAACACAACCCAAGAATTGTATTAATAAACAATCCCAGTGTAACAGAACAGTATTACATTGATTATTATGTACTAAGAACATTTTATGATGTATTCTATATGCTTTATTATTCATTTATTTTTTATTGTCTGAGTGTTGCCTCAGCATTATTTCTGTGTCACTTTACCAGAGATATTTCTGAGTCAATAAAAGTAATAGACAGTTTTGACGTTTTTAATTTTGTAACACCTATATTTGTTTATTTTATCTACAGAAATAAGCCAGGACTCATCTCTTGACTCCAATAGGATTTGCTAGATACAAACCAATAATCCTGTTATACTCAAAGTGCATTTAGTAGTTTGTACTGCTAGTACTTAATCACTTGATGAGTAAGAGGAGATCCCAAAGTTCACAGTATCTAAAGTTATTCATATGATCCTTTGATTGATTTAGCAAATTTGTATAACCTAAATAACTTAAGAAGTCTTTAGCCATTGGATAAAGGTCAGTAGATGACAAAATGCTAAAGTGATTTTTAGGTAAGAGTTCATTTGATTTAAAGAACATTTCAAAAATAGTTAGATTACCTCCCCCAGAGAATGAAAGATAGATATGGAATGTTGGTCTAATTTTATATAACTTGCCCCAATTTCTTTTGGACAGAAAGAGAGTTGGCTTTAGAAACTCAGCCTATTTGCTTCTCTTCAATGCAAAAGGTACTTTGAATAATAAACTTCTAATGAAGGTTTATTAAAAATTTAAATCAAAAATTCAGTAAATAAAAATATTTACACCTTAAAACTAGTTTAATCTGTATTTGTAGATTGTGGCAGGGCTTTTTGTTGGGTGTTTGGGAGGGTTTGGCCAAAGTCTACTGAAGTGAGTAGAGTCTGTAATGTAAAATTTTTTCAACTATTTTGTAAAACCAGCTCAGTGATTTCTGACCCTCTGGAACTGTAAGTTTACCTGTGTGACAGTAGAGGTCTGGTTTTGAGACTAAAACACATACTGAATAAAGGTATTTTTGATTAGACCAGCTGATAATCTCAGCTGGAGAGAATCTGAATTTGGAAAAAAACTGCAAATGTTTTTTTTAAAAAGAACAGGCGATCTGTTTGTTTCATGTTCTATAACCATGAGAAACAGCTACACAATGATTCAAATTGAAATTTGGGGAAAAAAGAAAAAAATGCATGGTCCGGGAATCGAACCCGGGTCTGCCGCGTGGCAGGCGGCAATTCTACCACTGGACCAACCATGCCTTTATTGGATGACAGAGACTCTCTAAAGTCTTATATAAAGTAAACAAGTGCTGTAGTTGAACTGTGCCTCGCATTCTGAGCATACATATTTACATCTGTAACATGCGATCTCGAATAACAAAGAGCACTGATTATCTCAACATAGTTGTAAGTGAATATCTTGCATACTGAGCTGAACATGCATATTCACAATCGCACTCCGACTTGATGGAAATTGACTTCAAGTTCCCGAAGATGAATCTGCAAATCTTTCAAAATAGAATTCCTCAAAGCAGCCAAAAAATGCTTGACGCAGTTGGGGAAAATCTCAATTTCATCCATTGTCTCCAACAATTTGGGTTGACCCAAAATTGAACAAAACGCGATAAATTCCTCTTTTGACTGAACTCAATCAAAATCAAGCTCTTTGCGTCCAAAATCACCACTTTTCAAGAATGCACACAGGCACAGTAAATAATGATAGTTGCAAACATCCCATTCACGACTTTGAACATTACTCTCCAACAACGCATACAAAACAACTTCACTCGTTGCAAAAGCACACTACAAAAGCACATTACTATCAATTTCAAAATCGCTTCCTAAAGTGCAAGAAATGCTCTTGAGATTTTTGCACAAACATAGACCATTCACAACAATCCGCAATTCTTGTACTCCATCATTAACTTCACCAGAGAAACGAAGGCGTAAGTATGTGATAGCTGTTGCAGACAATACATTCCAAATACTTTCAGCAGTTCCCTCACTAATACGCACATAGAAGCAGTCCAAAGATTGAAAATTCAACAAGCCAGCCAATATACAATTCAACAAGTCCTTGAAAACGGACACACTTACAACCTCAGCGTAAGACGTGAATGATCACAATCGCTTTAATCTGGAGACACCCCATTACAGCTTTCGTAACTGATCCAAAGCACAGTGACCGGAAGATTCAATATGTTCGCAAGATTGAACAAATTCAAGTGTTTCCAGTGTCGGAAAATGGCGAAGACAAAAAACTACCTCGATATGCAATAAAAGCTCGAGCCGATTAAAGCTAAGACTCTTTAGATTTTGAAACCAGACGAGGGTCAAAGAATTCCGTAGAGAATCTGTTCTATAGCATTGAGAAACTTTAACAGTTCGGGTATGAATGCGAGTGTATTCGGACATTTGCTGGTTATTTGTTATATCATCATATTTGACGTGGGGGCAACAGGTACTCTTCTTCAAGTGGATTCAAGTTGGAGAAATTAACGGCGCGGTAAATCAATGGAGGATGACGAACAAATTAAGAGTCGTTTGGTCTCAATATAAGAGCAAATCTGAAGGACGGTCTCTTGTGAAAGATCGAGAATTGTTCCCATTCCAGAACGATTCGCACTCATGATCAAAACTTCGCGATCTCTTTTCCGTGAAAACGTACAGAAGCCTTGAATCTTGGCTTCATTTCTTTCTTTCTCCAATTAGACCTCAGAATAGCTTAAGTCTTTATTGGAAAAAAGACCACAAAAAGGGTGCAATCAATTTTTTAGTCCGTATTTCAGCCTGATCATAGAAACTTGGATAAATCCGCGAAGTCATTAATTAAAGTAGCCATGATTAAACTTTTAAAATCCCGGATCAGTGACGTA